TTAAACGTGACAGATATCAAAAACGTAACTTTGAAGGGTATCCGACACACGATACACTTTTAATATATAGTATTAGAAGTATTAGATATTAGATATTAGATTTGTGATACAACAATATATGACGTTACATATTGCTAAAATGTATTTCAAAGTTATACAATATTAAAATGCTATGTAATAAGAAATCTTATACAGTATAATAAAATCACGGAATTTTTGGGACACATGATACGACATAATTAGCAACAGCAGCCAAAACCACAACACTCGCAACAAACAATCTTAACCCCTCGCTTGCCACGAATGACCCGTTATCACCGTTATTAGCAGGATCTGAGTAATTATTATTGTAGCCAACACCTATTAAAAAGAATTTAATTATTAAATATGAAATATATAATTAATGCAAATATATATATATATTTTACCGATACTACTTGATATATCGATGTCTATAATACGAATACAATTCATGTTAAAATTACTAGTTAAAAAAAAATAAATAAATACGGAATAAAGTTTTCACCTGTATAAAATAAACCTTCTACAATCGCATCATTTGCTCTAAGATAATCAGTCTTACACTTGTCTTTCACTTTTGCCCATAAGCTTACTATCTCCTCGTAATCAATTTTTGGAATTTCTAATGTATCATTTGATTTTTTTTTGTGATCATTTAGCAATTTAAGCAAATTATCAATTAGATAATTATGGCTTTTCCAAAACTCAATAAGCAGCTCGAGTTGAATTTTAATTGTTGTAAATTCAATTTGTTTAATCGTCTGGACCTTATTAATTCTTACTTCATTATTAATACTTTTAATACTTCTGTTTTCGTAGTTGCTCATCAAACGTTGCCTTATCTCATTATCAATTTTATCTAGAGAATTGACAAGACCTTCGACACAACTAATCCTTTTATTAAATTCATTGGGTGACAGTGATGTTTCTAGCATATCAATCAAATCATTGACCTTAGCTGTGTCATTTAAAATAATTGTAGTGCATTCAATAATATCATCAATATATGATGAAACTTCATTAAGTTCAGAAAACAAGCCTTCACTAAACTTGATAAAATTGTTAGTTATGTTCGTAATTTCGGATTTCTCGATTAGTATTTTACATTCTTGTAGAGCCTTTAGAACTTTAAGTATCGCATCATCTGGCTGATTTGTAGGAGATAAGATATTTTTCAGGGCTGTTTTACATAACTCGAGTTTAGAATCTTTACAATTTGAACGCAAAACGATCTCTTTTTCATCATTCAAATTTTGCATTTGTAAAGTTTTAATATAAAAATGAGTATGAAAAAGATTGTGTATAAAATCAGCAACGATATCAAAATTGAAATAAATGTAAAAACTTCATCTCATTATATATGAGCGTTGCAGAACGAAAACCTGTAACTGATCATAATGATTTATTATGGTTCCGCACTAGTGATGCAGTAGAATCGTCCCAATAATAATCGTCACATCGCGTCATTTTGCTGTAACTTACCGTAACTATAGCAAAGTAATATAGTAAGTTACGGCTATATTGCTGTAACTTACTATACTACTTACTATAGTTACTGCAAGTTATGGCAATTTTGACGACATCATTGGGACGATTTTAGTCAGCACTCAAATACATAAAATCTTAATATTTACTAAAATGGAAAATATCTGCAAAAAATAAAAATACGTACGTACGTACGTACGTACAAATTTATCTATTTAACTATAGCATATTTACGTACAAATTTATCTATTTAGCTATAGCATATTTACGTACAAATTTATCTATTTAACTATAGCATATTATTTGAGACAACGTGTAATTTTTTGAAAGTTTAATTAATTAGTTGCTATTTAATCAAAGAATGATCTTAGTATAACATAATGCAGATTCTATATATAAATTAGAATTTTGCAAATATGATATACTTTGTACGTACGGGTGAGGCCAATATTCCCACAGACCTTTGTGTTTGCGTATAGTTTCTTTAATCACTCCAGTTTGTGTTACCTTCCAAATCAAATCCATGCTTTGAATGTTGGCTTCTATAAATTTTATGAACGGAATATTGAGAGAAATTCTGAATCACATAATAAACATCTAAAATTAAAGAAAATGAACGAGACCGATAATTTCCAAGAAGCAGTTCCTACTGACATACAATCCTTGAAGGCTAGTATGATAAAATGTACAGAAACACTTTCTGATTGCATGAAAATAAAGACTGATGATATTATTGTTAAAGATAAAATGAAAGAAATCATTAAAGTTCGTTTGGAGTTTCAAGACTTTGCTGAGATGTCTGTTGACCACTGCACAAAATTATCAGGTTATATTGTAGACTTGGAAGGGGTCGTAGACCTTGTTAATGATAAAACAATTTGTGTAGAAGATTTTATCGATATGATAAAATCATTATCTGATGAAACCAAAGATTATGAAGCAATTTCACAGGATTTATTAGGACAAATCAAGTCATTCTTAGATAAATTTTTTCATATTAATGCCGATTTTAAATCTTATATGAATGAAATCAAAGAGGCAATTGATGAGATGAATCTTGAATTAAAAGATGCCGAAAATAAAAAACAAAAACTGGAAGAACTATATAATAAATTTAAACCAAAACTTTGGGAACGCGCACTTAATATAGGAGCGACAGCTTTGGGAGTAGCTATAGCACCTGAACTTGCATTGGCATTTGTAATTACATACATAATTAGTGAATATTGTAGATATGATAGAAGTATGTCATATTAGTTTTGCATAACAAATATTGCAAGTGTAATCTGACATTATTTTTTTTAAATAGATAATATGGCCGCAAATCAAGCAGATCTACTTGACGTTGCAGCAGAATTAGTAAAATATCAACAAAATTCAATAGAAAAAAAAACAGGGGATTTCAATGATTTACAAGTCCTTACTAAAGCAATTGCTGATATCGCTTTATCATTTACTACTTTTAAAATATTTTGGGATAAGCAAAGAGAAACACTTTCCAGGATTCTTAAAAATTTGAATACTGCAAGTAAAGAGAATAGAGTCAACAAACTTAAAGTTAAACTTATCGGTAAACAGCTAGATAAATTGAAATCTTCCATTTCCGATTATAATTATACAATCTCAAAAATTTTAACACATGATAAGATGATTAATTAAGCATGCCTCCTTATTAACAAGAGGGTACAGTCCAAATTTTCGGATTATTTGTCTGATTAGAATTAGCGTGTTTTATTAGAATTAGATCTGTTGCTATGTACAATTGCGTTCCTGACACAATTTTTTTGTTAGTGCGCCAAGATATTTCTTATTTTTCAATTTTTTTTTTTTTGTCTTCGGTTGTGATCTGTAAAATTCTGCATTATGCTGGCAATTTCTTAAAAATTTGGATTATGCTCTGCTGTTTGCATTATTTTGTATTGCTCAAACATTAAAATAAGAATATCATTTTGCTAATTTTTTTTATGAATATAACCTTTTATATTTTTTATTATAATCGGTCATAATATGACGTATAAAATATGGCAAATTATGATTCTAAACATTCTAAAGTGACGTATAACACACATATATATTAGTACTTCCCAACTACACATAAAGCGAACTCCAATTCATAGACACTTCATTCTTGGTCTGGAATTGAAAAACCATTCATCAACTTCTGAACTCTAAGTGATGTATCCCGAATTAAAATTTGGGGATCGGAAGTTCGTAAGACAATAATAAATAATATTTGGTACCACTCAACAGTAATGCAAAGCTCTAAAATAGTGCATTTACACTTGCATTTAAATGGTTTAAACAACTAAATCAGATTTCCGTTTTTTCTCATATTTACTACAATGGATTATAATAATTCGGTTAATAAAAAATCAACTAATTTTGACCCTTATACCCTTGGATACAAATATCAACGTGGGATAGGGGTTGAAAAGGATGAACACAAGGCTTTTGTTTGTTACCAAAAATCTGCTGATATTGATAATGCCAAAGGAGTATACGAAGTTGGAGAATGTTATTATTTTGGAATTGGAGTTGAAAAGGATAAACATAAGGCATTCATTTATTATCAAAAATCTGCAGAGATGGGGGATGCTATGGGAACATATAATGTTGGATATTGTTATCGAAATGGAATTGGAGTTAAAAAGGATAAACATAAGGCGTTCATTTATTATCAAAAATCGGCAGAAATAGGTCATTTCAGTGGAACATTTATGACTGGTATTTGTTATCGAAACGGTAAAGGAATTAAAAGAGATATCGAAAAGGCTAATTATTGGTTTAAAAAATATTATGAATTCATATTAAATAACGAAATTATAAATGACGACGATGACGTTAAAAAAATACTAGGTAATAATAAATACCAACTATCATGGATTCCATACAAAAATCTTGAATTTATTGAAAATGTTGGAAGCGGAGGATTCGCAAAAATTCATAAGGCAAAATTGGGACTAAAAGTAAAAGATGGGATTACTTCTAAATTTATTGTTGCATTAAAAGAATTTTATAACGACGAATATTTTAATGAACTACGGGCATATATGAAAATCGGCACTGAAAATCCTTCATTTTTGAGATCTCAAAAAACGAAATCGGCAAACATATTCTTATTCTAGAGTATGCTTTAAATGGTTCATTACGAAAAAATCTTAATTTTGTAACTCGGATGAATTGGGAGAAGAAACTAAAACTGATACGATGTATAGTTTATGATCTCACAACGATACATTTAGCGGGATACGTTCATAAAGATTTGCATAGTGGTAATGTCTTGCAAGATGATATAGATGATGCATATATCGCGGATTTAGGTTTAGCATCATTAATAAAAGATGAGAAGGAAAAAATCACCGGAGTGTTACCTTATATTGCACCTGAGGTTCTACAAGGGAAGCCTTTCTCACAAGCTGCTGATATTTACAGTCTCGGAATAATTCTGTGGGAAATATCAACTGGACAAAGACCTTTTGATGGTTGTCAGTTTGATGAAGGGCTTGCAATAAACATTTGCTATGGATTACGTCCTGAATTTTCTCCTGGAACTCCAAATTGTTATATTGAATTGGTTGAACAATGTATAAACCTAGATCCTGAAAAACGACCTAATGCTGCGATTATTCTGAATAAAATTGAGAATTGGATCGAAAGGTATAGTAGCCCAGAGTACAAAGACGAAATTAAAAGGCAATTTTTAAAATCCGACGAAATCATCGAAGCCTTACCAATTATTGAACCAAAACATCCTGATCATATGTATTCAAGTAAACTAATTAATACAGGAGAAATTGCAAAAAAACTAAAACATATGATAATAAGTCAAAAAATCGAAACTGCAGAAATTCCTAATTATGATTAATTTTCTGTTCTAAGAATATTTTTTTAAAATTAATATATATTTAAATATGATGTTATTGTATATGGGATTTATTTAAAAATAAATTATTTTAAAATATTATATCATACTTAATCTAATATTGTTTGACAAAAAAACATAGTGGTTTATTATTAATGAATAATGAAATTATGTTTTTATCTTTGTTAGTAATAAAACTAAGCAAAATTAATAAAATTAATGGAATTAAATTAGAAAGTACTTTACATATAGCAAAACTAATATATATTTTACAAATCATATGCTTTTGTAAAAAAGACAAGATAACATTAACCAAAACAAGTTTAGTGTTTAGCAGATTTATATGCTTCAATATAAAACTTAGTATAGTTATTTTATTAAAAATCTTTGACTAATCACTAGCTGCTAAGCTTTTTTTAATTAAAATTTTACTTTGTACAAGATATAATATAATAATTTACATAATAATATTATTATTTTCAAATACATCTCTACTAAATAAGGTAGCTGCGCAACGTAGTTGTGCTAAAACCAGGAACGGATGTCCAGTAGATTGTATTCAAAGTTCTAATAATTTATAATTGATGAATTATACTTATTGGTCTAACCTCATAAAATTATAGTTATTGTATTGATATTAAGTTACACTTAGATTCGTATTTTATGGCCTTCGGCCACGGATTTGAATATGAGCCCGAGTGTAACCTGGTTATTCAATATACCCATACAATAACTATCTTATTGCATGGTGTCTGAAGTACAATCCCGTGCAATAACCATAACCCAATAAAAAAACACGGGTTGTTATATAAGACCCGTGCAATAAACATATATACAGCATCTCTCAAAAATATCTTACTATATGAAGTATTCTTTACAGATAAGTCTATTTCCAGATAAGATGAATAAATTGTCTATAAAAGAAACTGTTGGCAAAATAAACTGTTCACAAAATAGTCTATCTGTGAATTGATTTTTTTAAAATAAACTTGTTTTGTCGGTGGAATAAGCTATCAGTAAGAAGAATTTGTCCATAAGGTAAACTGTCCGTGAAACAGTTTTCTGTAAAATAGGATTGTCTATGAAATGATTTTCTGTGAAATAAGACGAAGTGATGATCTACAAAGTGAGTACTAATTAATTAAAGATTAGTATTTGAAAATGCACAAAAATTATAAGTTTCATTTATTATTCATGACTCCACAGAGTCCAATTATATTTGGACAGTAATCAATTGCTCACAATAACTTAAGTTTCTATTACATGACTGTTGAAATTTATTAGTATATCAGAAACAATTCAAGCTTGTATAATAAATGTCATTAATAAATCAAAATTTATTATTATGCCTTAATAAATAAAACGTGGCATAGAAGTGTAACAATTAGTCAAATCTTTAAAGGTAGACAGCTGTCAAGTCACATGTGGTCCAATTGCCAATCAGATCACTTTAATGTGGGCAGACGTAGAGCTTAATAGTATGGACATAATAACTATAAGCACTCAAACTAGCTCGAACTCTAGTGATCTTCTCAATTTATCAATTAACTTTAAAATCTTTTTGTTCATTGTGATAGTGAAAAATAATACTACTTTTAAAAAATATGTTTCACCATCAAAAAACTACTAAAAATGAAGGCTACTTGAAAGAAGGCATGGAGAATTGATCTGAGAACCAAGGATCCTACTGCTATTAGAATCTCTGGGGTAGATAGTTTTTATTTAATTATAATTCTTATTTACCTATTTACACACTTGTTTCCCTTCAGTTACATGAGATCAATAGGTTTATATATATTACAGATTACATTGGGGCTTTACTATTATGATTATAATCATACAAGCAATATGACTAATTAAAGTTTCAGAAGAGATTCAATGACTAATGATGAGTAATTCATACTCATCTAAATAGCAATAACTTTAGTTCTCACCATTCAATATGAGTAGCACCTTACTATTGTTCTTAATGAAGCATTGCCTTGAGCCAAACTCAAATTAGATGTTTTCACTTTTGTTGCTCAATAAGCATTTAAGTTCTGAGTCATATATCTTAAGTTACATTTATAGTGATTGCAACTAGATTACATTTTAGCATTACATTGTTTATTGCAGTATAACAGAATTATGTCAATAACAGCATTTACTATAGTTTGTAGTTTTATGCCAATTGTTACAGCTAGTGCTCCGAAAGGGTCATTAGGGTCGGGTTTAGGGTTGAACCCAAACCTAACTCGGGCAGACCAGGTCATAATTTATTATTATATAAAATTAAATAACACTGCAAGAATTTTTTAATTTTGATAAAGCGTGCATTAATTATTAATTATT